CAGGAATGTTCAAAAAGAGCTTTCTGTCAAAAACCACATCCTCATCACAACCAACATTCTGTGGGTACATGTGTCATATCAATTGAATTTTTTTGCAGCTTGTGGTAAATTATAATATTTATTTTTTATCATTTGATTTCATGATAGATTTTAAAATATTTTGACAGCATTCAGAAGAAATTTGCCGCCTTCAAGAAATAAAATGCTTTGACATGATCAAAATGTTCCTTAAGTTCCCCCAAAATTCACATTTTATAAAATGTCAGAATTTCCACTGCAAACACAATCCTCCTCTCAACCTGAAGCAATCAATAAATCACGTTGAAAGCACCTATTTCCTGTGGCTGCTTTCCTCAAAAAATAGCACGGTCTCATACGACACCTTCCACGCGAAAAAATTAATAAAATAACCAGAGTAAGGGAAAGCAGGCGTGACAAACAGTTTCACCATGAGGTACACGGAAGAATTCAGGTATGTGAAGAACTAACAGGTGTATTTTTTCAGACGTTACAGCTTCTCCAAGGCTGGTGTGCCAGCAGGTGTAAGAGGAGAATGCAACACAACTGCTCCCCGTCACACCGGACCGCAGGAACCACCACTGCCCACTCGCTGCAGGCTCCAAAAACATCGCTCTGCTCAAGAGCTAGAAGTTTCTAAACCCCAAAGGACTTCCTGCAAATATTAATCCACCAAATGGCACCAGAAAATTCATTGGATTCCAGAGAAGAACAATTTTTATTTTCAGGCATCTCACGAGGGTTCTTCTAATATTAATTAAACATTTTCCTCTGGAAAAAGTCATTTGAATTCACATTCACAGAGAGAGTGATGTGTAATCATACCATGTAACACAAAAGTTAATGGTAAGCAATATGGTGCCATTTTAGGAAAAAAAATTGGTATTTTCTCTCCTAGAATATTAATTCAATAGTGGAAAAAAAAAAGTTCAGAGATGTGCAGCAAAAAGTATTTGAAGGAGAAAATTTGATAAATAAATTATTTAGACTGTTTACTTTATAGCAATGATTAATAAAGGCTTAAGACAAAAAATCATGAATGGTATAAAGCAAGCTAATTAACACTCCCATTAACGCAAGGCCAAGACTATATTAAATGATGCATCTACCCAAACCTAAGACCAGTTAAAAGGATTTCTTCAATACATAGTATTTGCTTCAAAATATTATTTACAACAAAGAAAAATGAGAAGAAAAGAGGTGCAAAAATAGAGTCCTACACATTCAAATCTCTCCAAGGTATGTATGTAGCTGCTGGTTTGTTTCAGAAACATGAAACAGATGATACCACAACCCAGTGCAAAGGTTCCATCAGCGTGCACATTTCAGATGTGACTGACACCATCAACTAGCACCCTCATTCCAGTTTCATCATTTTGGACCCCTTGCTTTTGGCCCTCAGTTTTCCCATATAGAATTATGGCATATTGCTCTTGTTCTATGCCTTGATATATTTGTCTTCCACTTCCCACACTGCAATTCAGTTTGAATCCCATGGCGATGTTGACTTTCAAGAGACCCAAAACAAACAACCCCAAAATCCCTCGCTAAATTAAACACTTGATACATTCTTCAGTATGATTGTTCACTAGTGTAATTAGAACATACAAGGTTAACCATATACTATTAGAACATACAAGGTTAACCATATACTATTATTAAAAGAGAAATAGTCCTGAGGGTATTCTTTCGCAGTGAAACGGTCCCTCCCCACCACAATCCATCTCACATTTATGGGGACAGAAAGGATACCCGGCTCTGTGCTGTCCTACCTAGCAGCAGGAGAGATAAGGCCGCTCTCCGTATCGTTCTTCTGTGACACGGAAAAGATTGCAGCTACCCTGTCTTACCATCTGTAAAGAATTTCTTCATGGAGTGAGCAATCTTAAGCGATGAACCATCACATCCAAATAAAGGTACTCCATGTAATGGAAAATGTGCGTTTTCTGCCTTTGTAAACAGAATTTATATAAAGCCTCTATGCAGTGAATGTAAGAAATATGTTGAGAGATGATGAAGAATGGATTACAGTGGAACAATGTTTAATTAAAGACTTGTAAGCATTTTTCATTATTGTTGAGAAAAAATCAATTAAGGAATGGATTACATTACTCCATGCTTCATTATGTAGCTAGCACCTACTATTAATCGGTTTTTCCACTACCTTGCCCTCTTTTGTTTCCAGAACACTTAAGTTACAGTAACTTTTAATTCCTTACAGTAAATATTAATCAACAGAAGAACAGATTTAAAGATTCAATAAAATAAGTTTTACACAGGAAGGATAACCTAAGTAATCTTATTGCAGGACCTCATTCGCGGTTTAAAAAACACCAGTCAGATATTGGTGGCACTTCTCCCCCAAGGATAAGGGCTTATCCTGACAAAGAGCTGGCTTTTAACAGCAGCGCTCCGGAGGATCCGAACGCAAGAGCACCCAGCACGTAGATGAGCCTACTCCTGGTCAAAGCACCAAATGCCACATCAATGCCTTGTTGTGCCACAAGTACAGCTTCTGAACAACTGTTAATTTCCCAGCTTAAGACTCCCGTGGCTGCCCCCCGTTCTTGGGCTATGAAGCAAGGAGAAGTAGGTGGCCCTACTCCTCCCCTGGCCCTACTCCTCCCTACACAATACCATCTGCAAGAACCATGTTTCAGCTGTTCGGGTTCTTCAGAGAGGGCAGGAAAAAAATTGTAAAAATGCAATTGACTCTCTAGAGTTAATAGCCATGACTCTTCCCACAGCAAGCAGGGCTCCTTGTCTAGAGCAAGAGCTATTTCAGAGCGGAGGAACAAGCTGAATGCACATTTCAGAACACAACGCCGACATCCGTAGTACAGGCAGAACACTGGTTACCTTGGGTAGCTCTTCAATTTGATTGGCATCTAGGTAAAGCTCCTCTAACGTCCGTTCAAAGTTAAAAACCTCCTTTGGCACCTGCTGTAGGCCACAGTGAGAGTAATCCAGCACTGAGACGACTTCTTCTTCACCTCGAAAACACCGGCAGGGCACCAGGCGGCCGATAATTTTCCTTTTGGTTGTCATCTCCAAGCAGCATACTGAAGGAAAAGGGGAAAAACAGTTTTCTGAAACCATCAACATTTGGGGGACTATTTCTTCAGAATTATTCTCAAGATTGCAGCCCATTAAATACAGTTTTTCCTGGGGGATATCTGTAGTCTGCACTCTGCATTTCTTATTCTACTTTTTACGAAACATGAAGAAGTGAGACTTGGCAGCGTACCCACAGAAAGCAGCGTCGATACATCGGCTGTTCCCCACACTGGAACAGAAGAAGACGCCAAGAGCATCCACAACTGTTGCTTTCCTTAGTAATGGAAATCAGCTGTGTAAGTCCTACATGTATGAACATGGTCATCAAAGTACAAAACGACAACGTTTCGCTCTGTGTTTCGGTCCCTTGCTCAGTCTGGACTGGGACTGACAGGAGTGAACCAGAGTCAGTTGGTTCCCATTTGCCCCCATGCCCAGTGGCATCGTCCCCGATTTCTCTGACTCAGCAGAGTTCCTTGGCTTTCCACAGTTACTGCTGGAGAGAAATTGCTGTCTTTGCAACCACACGAATAAAGAAAAGGATATGTAAACTTGATGGGCTGTAAAACTAGAACAAAAGGAACCCAAACCAGTCTTATTCCTGCTTCTCTTTGTTACCTTGGTCTGCTGAAATCTCGGATAAGGGACTTAGCAGAAATGCCGTTAATTTTTCTGCAGTAAAATACATGTCTGGGAAATTCCACCCTGGTCTGTTCCCTAATTTCTTCTAATCTAGGTGCCAAGTTCTGGAGATCTTCCTTGCATACACAGTTTGTATGAGCACCTCTAACTCACATGAGTACCAGGTTCCACAACTGTATCGTACGATTTTTCAGTGGAATAAAAATACTCTAACTCACTACTCTTGAACCGCAAGGACACTCAATGAGCAGGCTTTATACATCTCAAGCAGTCTCTAAATCTGGAATAGATATTGACATTTTCAGAAGTTATTTTAACATGATTATAGATTAATCAGGCTAAGGAAGGCTAAATCTTCGGTTCCCATTTTCTAAACCACTTACAAGGTTTTGAGTTACATTTGTTACAAAAAGGCAAAACATTAGTCCAAGTAAAGTAAAATAAAGCTCATCAGGATTCTCTTTCACAGGATGCCAGTGAAAAAGCAACTGTATATTCATGCAAAATATCAGTGGAGATAATTCATACTGCTTAAGCCATTATTTATCTGAAATTTGAGACCAAAAAAAAAAATTGCTCAGATAATGCTCCACTCATGGAGCAACGTTTTTTTCATGTAATCCATTGATACTTTGGAGATAAATAAAATACTCAAATGTTTTGTTTCCTTGTTTAAATTTTATTAGCACCTAATCTGCCTCTAGCAATCCCAATGAGAGGAGCACAGGAACACTGTCAGAACAAACACTGGTTTGTCGTGTTCTCCCAAGACTGAGACGTTGCCATGAACAACAGCGAAACCAGGGTGCGGCTGGTCACTCACGGGCAGTGCCGAGGACAGGCTTTCTGCTGGCTGATCCTGGCCTAAGGATAAACCTCAAAGCAGAGAAGCGAGTACAGGAATTGGGAATTCAGCTTGCCCAGATGCCAAGCTTGTGGCTATAACACACAAGTTGGATCTGAGTTACAGTCAGCTGATGCAATGAAAACATCTGCATAATACAGTGTATGCCAACTCCTGAAAGTGTAAAAATGGAACACTGATAGGTGTGAGAAAAGAAGCAATGCATTTACAGGCTAATAAATCAAAAAAAAGGCAAAGTTCTACTTCAGTTCAACGATACAGTCCACTGCAGAACACAAACAGCCCCACGGCTAAAATTTCAGGATGGCACACAGCACTTACATCTACTCTGTGTTAAATGTTCTTAATTTAAACTCCTCACACCAGGAACACCAGTCGGATTTCAGACACCACACTATGGCTGGACCTGGGTTCTCGATTGGCACTCAAAGCTTCTTGTGATAAAGAAATGTTTGTTTTAACACTGCCCCTCATTTTCCTCTGGAAATAAGGCTACTGCCCTTACAGCTCCGGATCTGTTGGTCATTGCAAACCCATTTGGGGGTTTTACAGGATTCTCACCTTCAAAAACTTTTGCGTTTGTCACTTCTCATTTAAGGCAGGAAAAGTCCCAAAGCTCTGCTCCAGAGAAAGCCCAGCAGGAGAATGACCCATCACACCACAAGTGCTCCCAGTTCTCTCTCAGATCAGTTTTTCTGTTTCCTAATTGGCGTGTTATCTGCTCTCTCCAAACCTTTTTCACTATATTTTCTCCTGGCACTGTAGCCCATCCCACGCAATCAGCTCATCTGGTCTCGGAAAGGCTGTACTTGGATGCCGAAAGCAGCTTTGGCCATCACGGCTCAAGGGGAGCTGCCTTGCACCCCCTTCTACCCGACTCTTTGGATACAAGCACAGGAGGCAGCCTTTGCAACGGCGTATTTCAAACCTTGACTCAATAAAAATAAATGCCCTTGGAATATCAAATTATTTGTGGCTTTTCGAGCCGTTTGAAGATAATGAACAATTGAACAGTGACATGTACTTCAAAAACTGCTCAGCAAAACATCCTTCCCAGGGGCATTACAAAGCACTTAGCTCTGCGTTGTTCTCCTCCGCTGCAGGCACGCACACAAAGCAAACCCCAGGTTTCATTTTAATAGAAGCGCAGAACAATAGCGATATAATAGAACAGCTGGAAAGTGTACAAACAGGGGAGTGACAGAACTGCACTAAAAATAGCAATTACAACAGCAAAAACATCTCAAAAACCATTTTTTTCTTTTGCTTATGTAAACAAAAGTGTTTTCGTTATTGCCATTCATAAAAAGATCTATCACTTCTTATTCAATAGAAAATTGTTTTAAAAATTAGAAAGAAAAAATGCAGAGGATAAACAAAAGTGATTGAACTACTTTGCCTTCCTCAAAAGCTATGGTAATACCTGACTGTCATGATAAATTAGGTCGCCAGGCTTAACTGGTTATCTATGGGTTATCTTCAGGAAAAAAGAAAAAACAAAAAAAAACCTAACCACAAAAAAACCCCCAAAGCTGAACCAGAATGGAATTTGGACAGATGAGCAATCTGTATTTATGAAAAGATCAATACTGGAATAAGAAATGTACTTGAACCTGAGTTATGGTGTATTGTGAGAAAAATTAGTATGAAGAAACTGCTGCTTATAGAATATTTGCTGGAGGAATGACCATGGGAAAACATGAACCTAAATGTACTTTGCTAAGAAGTGGTTTTGTGTGTGTCCACAGTCTGCTCCATTATTTACAATTTGCAATTAAAAAAAAAAAAAAGCAAAAATGCTGAAAAACCTGTAAAAACAATACCGTGAGATTTCTATTATTCTTTGCAATCATTCCAGAAAGCACCGGTACAGAACCAAAGGACCTGTGGTACAACCGAAAGGAATAACATTTCATGCCCTGTGGACTAACGGTAATTAAACCCTTTATTAATTACAGTATTGTTAATTCCTACCCTGGACTAATTCCAGCTTTGGTAATTACGTTTTCCTTACCTACATTTTATTCCTTCATGATTTTCATAAAGCTTTCCTTTGGTTACTTACTATAAGAGGATTGCTCCTTGAGCTCCTTGGGAACAAAACTGAAGTGCAATGGAGTCAAGAGAAAGCCAACCTCCCAACTTTGGGAGGCTGAGTCCCCACACACGTTGCCGCTTTAGAAAACTCCTTAATCCCTGAGACTGATACAGAAAGTCTTCCTGCTTCCTCACAGAAACACCAGTGCTTGCTGCTTCTTTCATGTAGTGAAAGCAGCAGAGCTCTCCAAGCGGGGCGTTCAAGGTTACCGCTCACCATACGTCACCTGCTATACATTACAGACCACACTCGCGAAGATTTATATCACAGTCAAAAATGAAGAAATTTCAGGTTGTCTATTCAGTCTCACGTGGAAGAAGAACACTAAATTTTCAAAATTCATCAGACCACACACAGAAATGCCCAGCAGCCTGGAAAGCTACAGAGACCGTCCTGCAAAGGCAGTGAGCAGGGGGATTTTGTCAAACGCAAAGGAACTAGGATGGAAAGTAAAGGAAATTTATTAACATCTTCACTAATAACTAATTCTATACAACTGCATTCATAAACTGTAATGGACCATTTCTCAACAATTCAGTGAAACAAAATGAAAGATTAAAAAGCTTAAAAATGTTATGAACTATTTTCTGAATGCTTTTTACAAAAATATTCTTTCTTGAATTAAAGAAACTACAAAAGAAGCCTAAATATAAACTGCTATTTATCAGCTTCATGCAAGCATCTCATTATCATTGTCTGCATTTTATTCTCTGATAAAGAAAATCCTTAATCTAAGCAAAGCAGTAGTTTTACAGAAATTAATTACAATAAAATCTAATCTCTTCTCAACTAATGGATCTTTTGTGCAGTAAAACCACTAATCCATATTTCTCAGGAATCACGAGAGAATATTTTCTCCTCACCTATTTAAAAGACAGAGGCAAAGGAAATTACTGTATGGCTCACAAAAAATCTGATTTAAAGACGGAACAAAATAGCTCGACAAACTTCAAAACTTCAAGTATTTTGAAAGAATAGGAGAGGCAGCATTTTTTTTTTTGCACAAGACAAGATAGAAGAATTTATTTTTTCATCTCAGAAGCTTTTTCCTCTTCAGTGGGCCTACACATCATCAGATATAGCCATTTGCCTTTTTTCCCCGTCACTAAGTAATTAAAAATTTGCTTTTAAAATAACATAACTAAAAAAAGCCATATCTCTCTGAAAATATTTTTATCTAATCGGTTTTAATTTTAAAATGTGCAAAGTATTGCCTTTGATGTACTTTACTTTTCCATTACCAGTGTTAAATAACCATTACGAACAAGTAGCAAGAGGCAAGTATTGGGCAAGCAGTTTGGAAGAGCTGTAACATAACATCCAGTTTCCAATTGCCTTCGGAATCCACTCAGTTTCCTGGTGGCAGTGCATTTAAAATGAGAATTC